GGCCAGAAGTGGCCCACGGGCCACCAGTTGACTAGTCCTGATATACAGTAGTCCAGATGTTTGCCCTGTATGGTTTTTGCCTCTTTAGATCCATTAAATATTCTAGATTAAACACATTTAAACCATGGCTGTGTGTTTTAAATTCATGAAAAAAAAAAGTTTGTTGTTTTTGTTCAGACCTCCTCGCTCCACTCAAGTTTCACTTTGCTCAAGTTTTCCTGCACAACTTGTCGATGCACCCCGCCTGCACCGGCGGGGCCAAGGCAGATTTGTTTACGGCGCATTCCTCCTAATTCTGCTTGATGAGTGAAGTAATTCAGACTGTGATACGCCAGTTGTCAAATAATGCACACTAGTTCAATCCTCCCATCACTCAAGCTGGTCTGCTGACGGTACAAAAGGACTCCCCCGCTTCCCTCTTGACTCTCTCCACACAGAGATGCGGCTGGAGATGGAGCGATGCATTTTTCATGAGGCGGCGAACGCGAGTGCGCTCGCTGCTTCTGCTCAGTCTGGGCTGTGTTCGGGTCTGTCACTACCTACTGCTTTTTATGATGTGATGCTTATTTGTGGAGCTGAAAACAAGCTCCGTGTATAATTGCCAGCTTGTTTATTTTATTTATGCTTTTTTTTCTCTTCTGATACAAACATGTCTCTGACTTCAGCGCATGAATCACAACCACATTTATCTTGTTGCGTGTGATTATTTAAATAGTGCTTAATTGTTTTTTTGTGGATCGTGCAGATTGACCACGCACTCTTTATTTGTGCTCCATAACCAYGAAGTGCATTAAAACCTCGAGTTTTTGTTTTTTTGTTTTCAGTAACTTATTATTTATTTAAAGTTTTCTGCAGCTCAAGCTAGATATACCCTCCCTCAGCAACACCGCCAAGACAGGTTGAGATTAAAAAGAATATAATAGTTTTATTAAAACAATTAGAAATTTAAATACTGTTGACTCTTTGCAACTGTTTTTGCCTGGATCATCACAGATGTTTTAGATAGAGRGCTTAAACACAACTGAACAGATTTTTATTAAAAAAAAAGAAAAATAATCACCAGATTCACATCTGCAACTGGTTTACTTTGGTTTAAACCTGATTCAAGGTGACTGCCAGAGTTTGGTGTAGTAGCTGAGACTGATCTTGTTTTTTTTTTTAATGTTGCCCCTATTTGCAGTCCTTTTGGAATATTTGATATTACAAAGAGCTAAAATTAGTTGTGGTTCTTCAATTTTTTTTTCTGCATGTCTGACTTCAGGCACAAGACCCTCAGGTGCTGGAACAACTGTCCAAAAACATCACACGCATGGGTTTGACCAACTTCACCCTCAACTACCTCAGGGTAAGTACCGTGTGTGTGCATGTGCACGTTTAAGACTCTAAAACTGTCATTCTGCATTAGGTTTAGTTCTGATCTCGTCACACCGAGGAGCAGTCGTTGCCTGTTTCTGAATGCAGAAACTTTGTTTATTATCAGAAAAATATGCCAAGCTTCTTGTTGTGAACATATATATAATTGTTTTCATTTGCTCCAGATTTTTAACATTTCCTCTAACAGGATCGAGACAGTTTTTATTTATTTTTTTAGTTAAGAGGAGAAAAATAGAATTTTCAAGGGTTATTTATTTGAAAGTTGYCCAGAATAAGTGTCAAATATAGTTTCTGTTATGGGAGTCAAATTATGGAGCAGTCTAGAGATGAGTYGAAAACTAAGAAATCTATATTTGCTTTAAAAAGCAAAAGAGTGTTCAAAAGAATGTCCCAACACAGACGAGCTACATCTAATGGCCAGAACTCTGCAGTTTTCACTCATTTACAGGCCAGCGGTCACTCTTTCAGAGATGAGGATGTTCTCATTCTTGATAGAGAGGAACGTTGGTTTGAGAGAGGAGTAAAAGAAGCCATTTTTGTGAAGAAAGACCGTCCATCATTAAACAGAGGTGGAGGCCTTCGTTTTCAGTTGTCCCCCTCATACAGTGCTGCTATTGCCAGTATCATTCCACCCCCTGTTAACAATAGGTGTTAATTAGGTGTCAACGATAGCCATGTGATGTGAGTATCAGTCACATGGAGGCAGGGCTTAAAAGCCTGAATTTTGCCTGAAACTCTCAGACTGAAGAAGTCTCTTGGAGGAGAGACGAAACGTTTCATTAGAGAAGAACCCGTCCAGAAGACCTATACAATTTTTTTCTTTTTGTTTTTTTTATATATTTGCTTTAAAAAAAACTTTAAAATTTAAGTTATTCATGGTTTATGATGCTAAGTGATTTTTATTTTTAGTTTAAAACTGATTAAAGCTTTTATTTATTAGCTAACTTAACTTAAATTCTTATTTTAAAAGCCCATCAAAACAAACAAAGACTTATCTTTCTTAGCTTTAAAAGTAAAGTGCAGCAATTTCCTTTATAAAATCCTATTGAATCCATTAGTTAATATTTCGCCGAGTTTTGTTTGTGTTCTGCAATCCAACGGTTGACTGACAGCTGCAATTTCCAAATAGGGGAACAAGAGAGAGACGGGGAGAGGAAAGGATTAATTGGATACAGAAAATTAGCATAACATTAATGAACGCTCCCTGTTGAGACTCATAATTGTGAAATGGCGCGAATCAGCGAACGGCCCCTCCACAGCTTTTTATAACCAAGTTTAGAGAAACACACGGAGACGGAGCGAGGGGAGCAGGGTGGTGGCTTTTTATTTATCTATTTTATTATTATTATTATTATTATTATTATTTAGAACAAAGGTTTTTCTACACAGAAAGCAGTTCTGGAGGTTTTTCCTTTTCCTTGCTCCTGCATCGCCTTAACGGCAGAGCGATTATGTTTGTGTCCCTGTCTGTGTTAGTTTATACGTACGCTGTAAACCGCAGGATTTGTTTAAGTTAAACTTCCAGAAAGTAATCATTAAGTTCTGCAACCAACTTACCGCTGAACTCGATACAGTTCAAGATGGCCGCCACAGTGAAGTGAACACAAAAATGAAAATAACTCAGTCAAWTTTACAAATGTTGCAATAAAATTTGATGTGGTAGCAGCTGAGCATCATAGAGCTCAACATGTTGTACGATGCATTTTTTTAAAACCTTGGCCTTAACATTTGGAACTAATCCTGTCTGTCTGTTAGTAAAATATCTTGTGAAGCAGTGAACAAATTTTAATGAAACTAACAAGGAATAACCATCGAATGTACCTCTACAAATGACAACATTTTAGAATAACCACAGTTAATTGGCCTTAGCATGTATAAAAATTGTTATATCTTGGTCAATTTTACAAATACTAAGCTAAGATATGGCTTAATGTTAGCTGACAGTTATTTAAAAAAACATACTGTAACTGTTAGTAGATCATACAAAATATTGCATGAGATTTGTCTACAGTTAAAACAGGCAATACTGTATCAATATTTCTTTAAAATAATGTAGAAARAATGTCAGCAGCTTTGATGAAAGAAAAAAGCCACGTGGAATCAGCTGTTTGATCGAAACAGCTCAGACTCTGTCGTTTAAAACTCGGGGCGATGTAAGGCTTTAAAGTGTCTGTGACAACAATTTTTTGTAATAAATATGAAGGCCTTTTTGGAAAGATAATACTGATAACATATTGGAAAAAAATTCACACTGCTGAGATGAACAGTTGTTGAGATATTTGCATGTGAAGAAACAGGAAGTGATGTCAAAGGGGCATGTAAACAAAGCGTTGCTAAAACAGCTAAAAGCAGAGACTTGAGAAGTATCTGTTTCTTTGGATTATTTGGAGTCACCATCAGAGAGATGAAGAAGAGTCTACAAATCTCAACACCATCAACTCTAAACGGAGCATCGACAGTTCTCTTTTTATTACTGAATATTATATAATTTGTTTATTTCTAATTTAATGATAAGTTATTAAGTTAGAACCAAGTTTGTACTTTTACAAATTCTGTTTGCGTCATTTCCAACATCCGTTCTGTATCTGAACCCAAACAAAAAAAATGTATCATCTGCAAATAATACACATTTAAAAAATCTCTGACACATTTACCAAGTCATTCACATATAAAGAAATAACTTTGGTCCAAGTACAGAATCCTGAGGAACTCCACATTTGATATCACAGAGTTCAGATCTTTCGTCATTTATTTGAACAAACTGTTTCCTGTTTTTCAGATAGCTTTAGTGCTGGACCTCTTACGCCTTATTTATTCAGTTATTCAAGAAGAACTGTGTGATCAATGGTGTCAAAGTCTTTCTTTAAACCAACGTAAGAGTTGAAATAGTGTTTCAATAAACAAGAGACCAGATGGGTTTTCTTTCTAATAGAGTTCCCCTTTGATGTCACTTCCTGTTTCCTTTTGGTGCAGCCAAGTTCAGAGGAAAATATGCCAGATTTATGACAAAACTGGTAAAATCATGTGTTTTCTCACAAGTTTGTAAATATAAAGATATTTTCTTCGACTTTTTATATTTGTGATGGTCAGCAGTCAAGAAATACTGTTTCTGCTTCAGTTCCTGACAACTCGGATTTAATAGGAAAAATAAGTGTTTGTGTGAGAACATGACTCAGATTACCTCCTAAAACAGTTCACAGGCATTTGTGTGTATTTTATAAATTTTGAAATAGTTTTTTCCCCCTGTTTTGAATGCTACTGTTCTTTTATTTTTTCTACCATCAGTACCAATTTTATTTTATTTATTTTCTGTCTGGAAGTCTGGATCTTCTGGTCTGAAACCACTGGCTGTGTGGGTACTGTTTTTCAACAATTTGCAAATTATATTTTCTGCCTCTCTTATCAGAGCTTGTCAAGGTAAAATATACCCTTTCCTGACATTAAACTGGCAATAACGTGTATCTGGAAAAGGCCTTCCCCAATGTTTATCAGCCCTTTCCAAAAGGGACGGATGGTTTCCTGGCTGAGGGGCTACGACTGACCTCTCTCTCTCTCACACTCTCTTTCTTTTCCATTTGTCGTGTTTAAGCCTTTCCATGTATTGGAGCCGCCGGCTTCCTACTATTCAGCCTGAAAATAGCCCTTGTTTTCAGGCAGAGAGCCAGGGCTTGTTGGCTGAGCTGGGGAGGGATATTACTGTGTCAGGAGGGAACTATCAGAGGAGAACACTGGATTAGTCTGCTACAGGGATGTTCACTTTACCTCTAGCGGCATAGCAGCAACAACAGAGGGAGAAGCAGCATGCGTCGCTGTGTTTATGTAGGGTAATTTGACGTAAGCAGCTGACTCTACGCTTGTTTTAAACCTGGAGAGCATCCATCATTTCTGCTAGGATTCCCAATGTTGTCAAGCGAGTTGTAAAACGTCTCGGAAGCTCCTGTACAAACAGCAGAAGGTCTGCTTTACATGATGCGCGTCTCCTCTGAAGGTTTTCTGTAGTTCTTTTGGTTTCTGCCGTACAGACGGATGAAAATAGCGCGTTGATTAGAAGTGACATGGGAAAAGTAGGAGAGGTGGGATGCTGAAGGTCAGATGAGATCATTTGAGCATGCAGCACATGATTAACAGTCTCCTTTCTCCCTGTAATGATTATGAGAGTGCCCTTGAGCAACTTAGTAAACTCACGCCTCCTGTCACCGCTGCAGTTTTCACCTTACATTTGCATAGTTAACCATACAGGCATTGTGTAGCGACAGAGGCCCGTGTCAATCATTCCACACTCATAGACCCATTTGTAGACATTTCTAATACTCCGGGAAAGGTTTTGGTAGATTTTACTACAGGAAATACTAATATTCTTTGTTGAAGAAACCAAATCCTCCAGGTGTTGGAATTAAAACTGGAAAATGGATTGTAATGATTTAAACTCTGACAGCAGATAGATTCCTATTCATAGAACAGGGCTATTCAATTGGTGGCCCGCGGGCCACATCTGGCCCACGATTGACCAAAGTGCGGCCCGCCAATTGGTTCATTCATCTCTTAAGCCCAAACCCCCAGTTTTCTACGTTAATTACTCTTCTTTTAGTTAAACATAGACATGTCTGATATCTACAAAAATGTCAGAATCTTGTCTAAAAGTTAATAAAACCATTTCTACGCACACTCAAGACAGTTAAAACTACAAGCAGTTGAAGATAAAACCATGAAAGGGAAAAAATTTTAAAAATATGGCAAGCCAGAGATGTCAAAATAATATTTGTGTCAAATAGGAGGCAGAATGTGTTCTTTTTGTTTTTGATATTGTTTGATTATCACTACTTTGATAGGTTTCTGTATGTTGTAATCATGATTAAATGCAGCAAAAATAAACTATTTCAAAGATATTTTAAAATCTTTGTAATACTTGGTTTATTTACAGACTTTAAATGCTGGATGTTCGGCCCCTCAGCTGTTGGCCTGCAGTGACTGTGGCCCCTGGAGCAGTTTATTTGAAGAGCCCTGTCATACAGAGTACCAACATAGTTTATAAAAGGAGGGACAAAACCTGACTGCAAAACAAAAGCATCTGTAATATTCATATCTATATATAGTTCAAAATTATGGGCACAATTTTAGGTCATAAAAAACAGATGTAGTGGATTTTAAAAAAACATGAAATGTTTTCACTCATCTAAATTGGGTAAAAGTAATACATTTACTTTACACTTACTTAAAGTTAATGTATTATCTTTACTCAATTTAGTTGAGTGAAAACTATTGACATCATTTTTTTATTAAATCGATCATAACTGTTTTTTGTGTAAAAGTTTTGCTTGTAAATCAGACTTTGTAGTTGTGAATTAAGATGTGTAAATAGTGCATATAAAATAAGATTTGTATTTGTAAAAATAGTAATGCGTATGTGTTAAAATACATTTGTATGCATAACAATAATAATAAAAGTTGCAAATTACTTTGGTTAAGTTTTGTTTATGGATAAAACTCTGTGTTCAAGTTCTCAACTTGTGTGTGAGTTTCTAGTTGCTCGTATGAGTTTTGACCCTATTTTTCTGCTTCCAGTATAAATATGTGTACTCATGCAAGTACAACACAATAGTAAACCAATATTTTCTGTATACTGAAATCAGAACTGATTTAAATATAATGACCAGAGTTCAGAGATCCAGAGGAACTGAAATTGATCTGAAGCTGGATATTTCAGATTAGATGTTTTAATTATGCATTTATTTTATATTCAAAATGTTGCTGTTATTTTGTCTAAAGCAACTCCTGCACAATAATCCACCCTGAAACAATAAGTCCTCTTAGTTAGAAACAAATGTTCTCCACAAATCACCCGTTTGAGTCATTTTATAGAARTTGTGCCCCTTAATGGGACACGAGAACCTAAGAAACCTGTGGAAATTGTTACTGTAATGGAAAGACTTGCTGGAAGAAGCCAACATTTACTGTTAATAGGAGACAGATTTGAAGTGATGAAGTCAGACGTTTACTAATAACATTCAGCTACAAAAAAATAATAAATCCCCCCACAGACAAAACATTTTAAACCTATAATTCCCAATATACAGCTGAAAGAAATGTAAGTTGTTCAAAGTCCTTCCAGGAACTGATCGTTGTGCTCCTTGTCTTCTTATAAGTTGTTTGCACACAGCAAAGGAGTGGTGAAAAAAATAAAACTAAAATAAAAACCAGATGAGTGAATCTCATATATGCGATTTAACCCATTTAAATTTATTATAATAAAAGCTAAAACCAACACAAACAGTTTTATTCAGACAATTAAACTGGGCATCTTACCTGGAGTATGATTAAATTAAGCTGCTCTGTGATTGGTTTAATAAAGACTAGCCCATGGCTGCCAAACTCCTCTCCTCCAACAGTCATCTGCTCCCAAACACAACAGGCTGAACCGTGATGTAATCCAGATGTTATGTGGATAAGCTAATCCTGAAGTATTTAATATGACAGGGTGTCCCCCTGGTTCCTCTCAGGTTTACAGTTTTCTCCAGGATTTATCAGGAGGAGAACACTGTTGGAACCAAGCCTGTTCTGTCTTCCAGACGAACGTGTGTCTGCATGAATAAATGTTTTTTACAGTTTAACAGTTCGACACGTGTTGCTGATAATGAAATGTGACATCTTGCTCATCTTTCTACATGTGTTTTTATCTAAAGCACTTTTTTGTAGACGCCATCCGTAACCATCGATCATCTTCTAGCACAGTTCTGCCGATTGTTGAGGTTGGAACTTTGTGAGGTCCATTTCAGAAGCATTTTTTAAGTGTTTWGGCTTTTTGAGTTCTCTCACGAGGAAAACTTTTAACGGCACTTTTTGTGTTGTGTCTGCAGCTGTGCGTCATCCTGGAGCCCATGCAGGAGCTCATGTCAAGGCACAAGACCTACAACCTCAGCCCCCGGGACTGTCTCAAGACATGCCTATTCCAGAAATGGCAGAGAATGGTGGCCCCACCAGGTAACTAACTCCAATCGTCGGTAAAATCCAGAATCACCTGGTAAAAACCAGACCCTTGTTCTTCGCTTTGCTTCGTACAGAGGGTCTGGACCAGTGGTGTCTAAAGTCATTCCTCAAGGACCGGTGTCCTGCATGTTTTAGGTGCTGCCCTGGTTCAACACAGCTGTCCCCAAGTAGTGCTTAATTAGTGGGTCTCCTTAGTGCACCATCAAGGTCTGCAGAGGCCTACCAGCAGCACCTACAACATGCAGGACACCGGCCCTTGAGGACTGGATTTGGACACCACTGGTTTGCAGAGTTGTAAAGTAACTAAGTACAAATACTTTGTTACTGTACTTAAGTAAAAATTTTTGGTTAAATGTACTTGAGTAATTATTTTTCAGCATACTTTTTACTTTTACTCATTACATTTTTATGCAATTATCTGTACTTTCTACCACTTAATTTTTTAAAAAGTAGAAAGTCATTACTCCTATTTTATTCCAGGTTGTTATTATTTTTAAAAAAATACTATCCAGAAAAATTGTGTATCCTGGATAGAGTGAATTTATTTGTGGTTGGACGAGAAGTATAAATATTTACCATTCTGACACCATAGTACATTGTACCCAGTCCATCACAGCTGCACGCCGTTAGAAAAAAATGTTTTTGGAGAAGTCACCTCCCAGTTTTACTCAATACTTTTACTTTTAATACTTAAGTAGATTTTGTGTCAGAAATTTACTTTGGATACTTAAGTACAAAATATATCAGATACTTTAAGGCTTTTACTCAAGTAAAATTCTTAGAGAAGACTACTTTTACCAAAGTAGTTTTATGATAAGATACTTGTACTTTTACTCAAGTGTCACTTTAAGGTACTTTATACAACCAATGCTGGTCTGGACTCTTGGTTGTTGGAGGCGTGGCCTCTGTTGAAGTTTAAAACGATTGGATCTGATCTACCCAATCGCTAACGTTTGGACTTGACGTACGTAGAGCGACAACTCCACCATGAAGGCAGCTAAGCTAAGAAGCTAACAGCAATTGTGTGCGCTGTAAACAACCATGTAGGTTTTATGAGACAAACAGTTTAATTTGGAAGCAACACAGACTGGTTTCATTCACTTCCTTCGCTGCCATTGCTAAACTATAGGTTAGAAAATCGACGTCGCCGTTCACAACTCCTCCTCCTGTTTTCTGATCGGCCCGGTTAAAATTCTACCAGAGAAATCCCAGACAGAGCAGAGAAGGTAAACTAGAACTGAGCTGAACTGTGTAGGAAGGCCGGAACCAGGCTAGAATCAAAACTTTCTGTCTTTTCTTGAAGAACATCGAAAAACAWATGGGATATATTTTTTCGCCTTTAAAGTGCCTGTGACATGTATATCCATGAGACACAAAATGTCAAAGAAAACATCTTTATATTTAAGAAACTTGACATAATACACAAGTTTACCCATTATGTTCCATAATTGGCAGATTTACTTTTGAACTTTGCTCAGATGAAGTGAAACAGGAAGTGACATCAAAGGGGAACTCTACGAGAAACAAATCTCTCTGGTTTTTGTTTATTGAACCAATATTTTTTTTAACTCTGACTCTTCCTCATCTCTTCAATATAGTGATTAAAATAATCTAAAGAAACATCAGAATCTTCTCTACAGTCTGCGTTGTTTGCCTTTGTAGCAACGCTCCGTTCACATTCAGACATTCCCCTTCGACATCACTTCCTGTTACTTTACATGCGAATATCTCAACAACTGTTCATCTCAGCTTTATGAAATCTTTTTTACAATATGTTATCAGTGTTACCTTTCCAAAAATGCATTCGTATTTATTGCAAAAATGTGATGTCACAGACACTTTAAACAACTTCTTCACTCCAGCCCGTCCCTCACTGTGGAAGAATATGAACATTTTCTCTCAGAGTCTGCTTTTATTGCATCATTTACGTTTCCAAATTTGTCATTATACATCGTAATCCCTGAAATACCGTTTGCCTGTCAGGTGCATGAAATAATCAGAATTCAGGCTTGGCTCTTGAATCTCAACCCTGCCAATCTTAGCGGGCCTCTCAGCCGTCTGTGATTGATGTTTGTAGGGTGGTTTCTGAAATGTACCAGGCTTAAATTGGCTGTGCGGTCTTAAGCCGGAGAGGCAGTAAGCCGAGCTTTTTTTTTTTCTCTCCTTCTTCTTCTTTCTTGGACACATTGGAGTGGCTGCAAATTACAGCAATGCTTAGCAAGGCGTGACGAGTTGTCTTTTAAAAACCAACACCAGTCAAAAAGCCTTTGACTCCGACCTGTGTAACTTTAATTAAGAGTGCTGGCTGTAATCAGACTAGTAGATCCAGCTCGGCCGGCCAGCGGCTCCCCGTTGTTGACGACTTTCTTCAAAGATAAAAAGAAAAACAATGCAGAGTTAGAGAGAGAGCGAGAGAAAGAGTACTTTGTGAATATAAAAAGCCTTCTTGTTCGTTATTTGTGCTCGAGGAAAAGCTGATTTACCTTTATCTAAGGTAATGTGCAGCTTTTTAGTTTTAAATGGCTCTGCAGAGAGTTGACCTGTTAGAAAAACGGTTATTTCTTGTCATTTATCTTTATTTTGACACAACTGTTTGGCCCTATCTTTGCAGTTTAGCTGAAATTGGGGTTTTCCTTATTGGCGGCGTGTTATTCCACTTTTCCTGCAATTCTTCTCCAGCTTGGAAACCGGTTGGGGTTTTGCCAGGAAGGAAGCAATGGGTGTATTTCTGCTCCAGTAAGTCCTTTCGGTGGAAATGGAAGCGATTTTAGTGCGTCACCGGAGAAACCGGTGGGATAACAGCAATGATTTCTCTCACAATAGCGCTTTTTTTTWATGTTTTTTTAGCGCACACGTCTGTCAAAATCAGGAATCAAACAAGAAGAGATTCTGAGAGAAAAAAAACAAAATTCCCTTTTATTGTTTTGCTTTGGATTTACAGTTTCAGTTTTGTTTGTATGATGATTCGCTGATTGTAAGAGCTGAACACGAGAGCATCTCCCTCGGTGTGATTAGAAAGAACCTGGGAAAATRTATTTCATTTTCAGACATCTGTCTGAAGATCTTAGCAGGGTCTCTCTTGAGATTAAAAGGAATAATGTTTTCTCACAAATGTCGACAGGATTCACAAAACCTTGTATTCATAAATTATGTACATAAATTTCTTTGTAAAACACTTTAAACGCTGAAATCTTTATTTAACCCTTGTTAGTATTTATCTTCCTAACAGCAGGTAACTTATTTTTTCATGTTTGTATATAGCAATAAATGTTCTGTTGTTTCTCTTCACTTTCTCTGCTGTCCCCTCTGATCTCCTTAACTTGTTTAAGAAATCGTTCTCTAAAATTAAAACCTCATTTTGGCTCCGGTTTCAGCTGGACACCCGCAGAACTTCAAAACGGAAATATTTCCCACAAATCACAAAAAAGGTATCTTCTCTCTTGCGCTGCCTCTAACCGTCCTCTGAGGAAGTGGCAATCTGGTGCTCGCTGGACTGGATTGAAATTTTTTTTGTTATTTATTTTTTGTGCACCCTTATCATGGATGCTCAAGCACCTGTTGGCAAACGATGTGTTGCATGTTTTGGATGTTACAGCCTGCCTTAAACACAGTAAATACAACTATAACAATCATTCTTGTGATTTGGATTAAACATGCAAAAATGTTTTGTTTATAGTAGGGGTGCAACAATACATGTATCTGTATGGAACCGTTCAACGCACACTATGTATGGAACAATAGATTTTTAACATTTATTTTATCAGTTTGTTTCTGAAGATGCTCTGTGTTGAAGGATCAGTGGATCTGTGTTCGACTTCTTCACCTAGGCTGTATTGTCGAGCGCAGATCCACTGAGAAACTTGCTGTTTCAGCAACATTTAATTTAAAAACTGTACTTTTGAGGTTAAACAAATGTTCATACTTAGGATGTATTCACACCAGGAAAGTTCTTTGGTCCACTTATAAAGTCCGGACCAAATAGCGGACTTTATTTTTTTTCCTTGGGGCGGTTTGCGGTCACATTGGGCCTCATGCAAGAACATGTTCGTATTCTTATCCTAAATTTCTCTTACTTTTGTTCGTACAAAGGGTTCGTACGAACATGTCACGTCAGATTCAACAAACTCTTCTATCTTCAGGAAAAGTGTGAAAATGAGCTGCGTAAATTCCACCTGTTCGTATCCAGCTGCTCGTGCACGCGAGAGGGGATTAGCATAATTACCACCCCAAAAACACCATATAAGGCTATGTTTCCTGCCTCAGATACAAGGAAGTGTCCATTCATGAAAAATGACAGCGAAAATTAAAAGAAAAACTTTACGAGTTCAGATTTGAAGTCCGTCTGTCAGAGATCCAGAAAAGAAAATCTGTCATTTTTAGCAGGTCAGCTGTGGAATAAAAAGAGCTGCTAAAAGTATAAACAACTGTGTTGAATCATTTTCATTTATTCAGAAGACACAGCGCTGCGCACCGAACCCCCAGCAGAATAGCCTATTGTCAAGATAATTATGGAGCGTAATTTATTTTCAACTTAAAATATCTTCAAACTAATGAAATATAAAGTTATTAGTGAAGAAAACTCGTCTGGATAACAGCAGACTGACTGCTCGTAAAATATACGACAGGTCTGGACCACTCGTGAATTTTGTTCATATCTGAAAAAAATCTTAGAATACGAAAACATTGGTGAATGCCACAAATTCTCCTAAATCACTCGTACGCACAACTTAAGAACAAATCTGTGCGTACGAACGGTTCTTGCATGGGGCCCATTGTTCTTTTTGCAAGTGGACTATAATTTGTAAACAAAGCCACACAGAAATGACAGGGTCAGGTCAGAGCACAGCCTGGAAATAAAGATGGTGTTAATACAAGTGACTATTAAGAACATGAAGAGCAGCTCRTTCAGTGGTGGTTCTGTGATGATATAATTATAATTTTGGGACAGAATTGTCAAATGCGTTCCCTGACCCACAACGGTTCTTTGTTTGTAGAGCAGTGTTAGCGTTAGCAGGGCTAATGAAGGGCTAATGTTGCTTAGCAATGGTGACTCGTTAAGTCCGAAAAGGTTCATGTTTCTTGTAGTTGGTTCGGTTCGAGGCCGGCCTGTTTTTACACCAGAAGTGAACCACACCAGTTTGTTTGGAAGCGGACCAAGACCACCTCAAAAATGGGTCTCGGTCCGGTTGTTTGATCCACACCAGGGTTTGCATGAAWGGATTCACACCAAAAGGTCCGCACCAACGGGGGAAACGAACTCWGGTCYGTTTAAAGTGAAGCAAATGTGGCAGGTRTGAATATACTCAATTTCAATAAATTACAAGTTAAGAAGGGCATGGAAATTTGTCTTTTTTCTGTCGACAAAATATCAATTCATGAGACTAAAGTAGCGAACCGAACCATGAATTTTCTGTATCGTTGCACCCCTAGTGTATAGGTATATTCAGGTTTTTTTTTAAGCTTCAGTCTGGTTCTGTTGAGAAGCATTAACAAAACTGCATCACATTAAACATCAGGGTTCATTGTTGAGCATTTATGCAAATGAAACATGGGTTCTTTCTTACGACTGCATGTCTCAGGAGATGTTAACGCTTGTGTGGCTTCACCTCTGAAGATAACAAAGCATGCATTGTTGCATAGAGGCTCTTATCTGTCTAACATGTCTGTGTGATTATGTGTGTGTGTTCTGTCTGCTTGCATTTGCAGTACTTGAACTTTGTGAAGTATTTCGTCGGCATGTGGTTTATTTTTATTTTTTTAAATACACGCAGTGCGCACACCGTACACCTTGTCTCCGTCTGTATGCATTATGTTCTTGGCATGGCCTCTGTTTCTCTTTGCTGGTCGCGCCAAAGCTGAGCCTGCCCGACAGACGACCACCAAGAGGAGGAAACGGAAGAACTCCAACAGCAGCGCCAACAGCAGCGTGGGCACCGCCGCCGGCAAGAAGCGCAGTCCCGCCACCAACTTCAGCCTCTCCAGTCAGGTACCTGTAAGCATCAGCTCCTCTCTTCTTCTTCTTTTTTATTTACTTTCTATTAATATTTAGCCATTTAGTTGTCACCTTTATCCAAAGCATCTTTCAAAGCAGCTTTAATTGTGTTCTGTAAACGCGCTCGAGTGTTTGCGGGGTTACRAACAAGCACCAGAAAATTCCTAATGGGATCACAGCTATTAAAGTTTAATTTATTTGCACAAATGGAAGAAAGAGGCTCCGGGAGGAAAACAGTAAAAAATAAAAATAAAAAAAACCAACTCAAACCTGTGTGGTGGGACGATGAAACCTCGGGGGACTTTTGTAAAAGCAAAAAAGAAAAATATKCCAACTCCAAAGAGTGACACAAATGACATTAGAAATGATCAAAGCAGCAAATACTACAAAAAACATTTTCTAAGAAAATAAAAGAGGCAAATTTAACTGTTTCTGTGCTGCTTCGCTGCAGGTGGTTTAGTGATTAACTATTGTTTCTGCCTCTTTAATGTTCTCCTTATAATTCTGAGTAATTCTCAGAATATGAATGTTTACAAGACCCCCGCAGACCCTGTTACTCATCCAAGTGGACGTAGCCTGGAGGTTGAGGGGAAAAAAAAGTTTGAGTCTCTGGAGCAAATGGAAATGTGTGGGTGGTTAAAGTGACACTTCGCCCTCGCAGCCACTACGCCGAACATGCCCTTGAGCAAGGCAGTGGACTCAAGAACTTGTCCAAGAGGACTGGCGGTGAAATACATCTTTCCTCAGGTAGCAGTGTTGGTGGGAGAGCCACCGTGACAGAGAAGAATATAAACAAGTAAAAAAAAAAAGGTACAAAGTTATGGTTTTAGTCATCTCCAGCTTCAGCTGTTAGGTCATGTAAAGGTGGTGTTTGTGAGGGTTTGAATCCCTGAAGCGGGTGACTCTGGTGGCTAAAGAAACAAGCAKTTTATTAATGTTTATGTTTACTCTATTGTTACATTTAAATGATTTGTTTTTCCATAACGCCCTGCCTACCAATCACAAAATAACACAAAAATTAATAAATAAAAATCAAGGAATTTTTTTGTCATTCCAAATGACTTATACATAACGAATGAAAGACATATACTGAGGTCTCAGTTGTAAAAAACAAACAAACAAAAAACAATTAGCAACAAAAATAATGAAGACACAAGAAAATACAAAAATGCACAATCTGTCACATATGGAGTGTAAACGTACACATTCAGTCTTAATAATTGTTTCTAAAAAAATTGCGATTAATCACAATTTAAAAAAATTCATAAATACTGTATATGATTTTTTTCTTGTTTTTTTTTTTTTTTTTTTTTTCAGGGTGTAGACTATCTGTTTGCAGCATTTCAATGCATACCTGTGTGTTTAGAGACGCTGGCTGCCATAGAGGATTTTAATTCACCTCACCCCTACATCTCGTTGCACAAAGCTAAATATGACAAGTTGCAGCTTCATAAATAACAGGGGCTTTTTTAGCAGAACCAGAACCACGCATGAGTCTGCACTCAGTGCATTTTATGCACTTCAGCTCGCTAAAATAAGTGTTTCTTTTTTGTTTACTTCCAAGTTTGTTGTTCTTAAAGGAGAGACACATCCTGCAAAATCCAATATTTTAGCTGTTAAATACATTTTGTTGTGAACTTGGAGGCTCTAGGAGGCAGAAAAGTTTAATTTAGACTCCTGGTGCTGCAAAGATACAGTGGTTTGCAAAAGTATTCATACCCCTTGAACTTTTCCATATTTTGTCACATTACAACCACAAACATAAATATATTTC